CACATGCACACACGCACATAAGGGAACATCATGGGGAGCTACTTTACACAAAAACATGAGCTGTAGGAGACTTCTTTACAATCAGTCCACATTGTCATTTTCTCAATCTGTTAAGCAAGAACTAATGACAAAAGTTCCCATGTTTTACAGAAAATAGCTCTACGTTTATTATTTATACATTTTACATCATCACATGATTAATGTAAACTGTGTAGATGGGTAAATAAAATCACTGAATTAAAATTTTTTTCCAAGTAAACAAATGTAAAAATAAAGGAACTTCAAATTTTTTTTAATCTTAGCAAATATAACTCCTTCTCCTAAAGCAATGCTATCTTTAACTATCACTTGTTTATGAATTGTTAGAAAATAATTACTATAAATCAATTCAACATCTTTGAGCTCTATGAATATTAATCAAGATAACCTGTAACAAAAGCAATCTCTGGAAGTATGTAGGTTAAAAGGCTAGCTTCTGAGTAAAATAATATTCTCTATTCACAATAAGGTCAGATGGAGTTTAGTCAGTCATCCTTATGTCTTCTTTTCACTGGACAACCAAGGAGCGCAAATAAGAAAATTGAAGGATGACTTCTTTTAGATGTAAGGTAATTTCAATTTGTCCATAATGTAATGCAGTGTCTCAACTACGTTGTTATTACTTCAAAATAAAAGTAGTATCTGATGTGTTTATGACAATGGAATGGAAAAGCCATCAGTATTAACTTCTTCTGACTATCTCCATCTTTCTGACATTTTACGACTACTGCCTGAAGGTCTCAGATATAAGGAAGAATTTCCAACAGTGAGAGTACTAAAAATGAGTTATTGACAAAAGCTATAAAAACATCCTAAAGATCTCTCAGTAAAAGCATAAATGTTCACCCTCAGGGATGATTTGGTATCATCCTACCTGAAAGCATGAATATAAAGTAGAAAACTCTTCAGGCTTCATCTGTCCTTGTTATTCTTTAAACTAAAAAAGGCTTTTTACTTCATCATTTTTATTTTTATTTTTTGGCCCTATAAACATCCTTCTCTATAACCATCCCTCTCTCTTCTGGTAGACATGAAACTTCAAATTTGCTATGACATTATAAATAAATTTGTAATCTGACTGCTCTCATTATCATTAAAACAATGCTACAATGTATTTTAAAAACTAATCTGAAACTGTTTTAAAGTAAAATTTTCAAAGCCCAGCCTAAATAAGGGGAAGTAATGATATCATTTAATCGGCTATATGCTTAGGTACGTTTTGTTAATCCGTTACCTAGATGAAGAGTTTATCTTTCAAGCAAAATGTGATCACGTGTATCAATGTCTGCAACTTCCTTGGAAATGCATTAAAAAATGAGATGGGTTTGATGCCTGGACAAATGGATAAATATGTGAAAAAGCAAACACAGCAAAATGTCAACAAGACTAGAAATCTCCTAGTGACCATATGGATGGATGTTGTGACGTTGTTTCAACTTTTCTATATGTTTGAAATTTTTCACAATGAATTGTTGAGGAAAATGCAATCACATTTGAAACTTGTTTTAAATGGCAAGGGAGAAATGTCTAAATCCCACAGAATAATTCTGCAAAAAACACTAGGCAAGACTTTGCTGTTTATGTTTGTTGAGTTGGGGAGGAAAAAAAATTGCCATAACCCCTTAACTTTTTCTGTCTACCTCCGGAAAACTCCAAAATATTTGGACCCCTATTGAGAAATGAAGGTAGGTAGAAATGTTTTTTAAGAATTCTATATAGTGAAAGCCAGTTCCTCTCGCTGACTTTTAAAGAGTAAAAACTTATTATTTCTGTATTTTAGATAATGTTTCACTTCCCTGCCTACCCAGAATAACTTTATTTTCAATATAGATTTACTTCCTGAAAGGAGATAAAGCACATCTTCCTTTGGATTAATCATTTTTTTTTTTTTTGCAATGTCCTTTCACTGTAAATCTACCTAAAATTATTTTTTAAAAATCTGAAAACAAAAAACACATACAAATGATCAGCATATTGGATAGTTTGTTTGCCTACTCAATAGTATGCATATGAAGTATATGTTATGTATGTCACAAGCCTTTTAACATAAATGACTTTCTAAAGTGGCATAAGCAAGACATGTTTATGTTTGTTATCCATTAGCGACTTTACTGTAGTTATTTAAAATATACCACTCTGTATTTCATAAAGATAGAAAAATACATAACTCAAAGAAATTGCTCAGTTACTAGTGGGTAATAATGATCTATTAAACAATATTTATTGGAAACCTACTATGTGCAAGGCATAATGCTAACCCTTAGGGATGAGAATATGAATAAGACTTCATGAAACTGATGGTTTGGTAACAAATGAACAATTATAAAAACATTTCAATTGGTTGATAAGTACATGCAGAGTAATACTGTAATAAGGAGGAGACATCTAAACTAGCTTACAGGGTCGGGGATCTCTGGGAAGGCTTTCTGAGCTTGGTACTGAAGAATGAGTAGCAGTGACCGAGGCAGGAGAGAAAGGGAGATGGCAGTCCATGCTGAGGTGGCAGCACAGAGGAACAAAGCAGCATGTTGTGGCCACAGAACTATAAGCAATTCAGTATTGCTGGAAAAAAGCTCATGGTATGGACCGTGGAGAGATGAGGCTAGAGAGGCGGGCAGTGGCCGTACCATGAATGATGCTGCAGGCTATGTTAAGAAGCCTGGACTTTCTCTTGGTCTCAAAAGGATTTTAGAAGGGGAGTAGTATTTTCAGATTTTATATTAGCTAGAACTCCCTGGCCCCTGGGTGAAGGAAGAATGTGAGACGGACATGACAACCAGCTACACGAGTGACAAAATGAGGACCTGAACCAGGATGGTGTTAGAAGGTATGGTCTTTGCGGAGACGTACAGGTAGATATGACAGATTGGATGTGGGGGTGGCTCCCAAGCATCTGGCAACGCTCCCCCTTATTCCCCCACCAAAGTAGATAATAGAAAAAGAAAAGCCACGTTGAAAGCAAAGATGATGGATTCAGTCTTGGATGTGTTGAATTTAACACCCCTCTGGGTTATCTAGGTGAAGATCTCCAGCAGTAAGTTAATACATGAGGCCAAGGGAAAGAGGTCTGAATGGGAAGTTGAAATTTGAATCAGCAAAATATTAGAGATACCTGAGTGAACAGTTTTTCTGAGGTTTTGTTAAATTTTAGCCATTCTAATAGGTGTGTAGTGGTAGCTCATTGTAGTTTAAATTTTTATTTTCCTAATTCCTAATGATGTTTAACATCTTCTAAAATGGTTATTTGCTATTCATATATCTTCTTTTGGTATCCGTTCAAATCTTTTGCCCATGTAAAAAAATTGAACTGTTTTTTAATTTCTGCATTTTGAGTGTTCTTCATATATTCTTGATATTAGTCCTTTATCAGATATATGTTTTGCAAATATTTTCTCCCAGTGTATGGCTTCACAGTGTCTTAGTGTCTTCTGAAGAGCAGTAAGTTTTATTTTGTTGAAGTCCAGTTAATCAAATTTTCTTTCTTTCTTTTTTTTTTAAAGACATGGGGTCACGCTCTGTTGCCCAGGCTGTAGTGCAGTGGCTGGATCCTAGCTTACTGCAACCTGGAACTCTTGGGCTGAAGCCATCCTTCTGCCTCACCCCCCCACCCCCACCCAGCAGCTGGGGCTGCAAGTTTGCACACCAGCCTAATTTTTCTTATTTTGTTTTCTAGAGATGGGGGTCTCACTATGTTGCTCAGGCTAGTCTCCAACTCCTGGCCTAAAGCGATCCAACTGCTTCAGCCTCTCCAGTTGCTGGGATAACAGGCCATGAGTCACAGTGCCTGGCTCTACAATATTTTCTTTTCTGTATCATGTTTTTGGTGTCGCACGTAAGAAATCTTTGGCTAAATAAGGTCACAAATATTTTCTCCTAAGTTTTCCTCTAGTATAGTTTTTCTATTTACATCTATAATCCATTTTGAGTTTTTTTTTTTTTTTTAGGGTATGTGTGTGTATAGTGTGAAAAAATAGATCAATGTAATGAGAGGGGATAGACTCAGCCAAGAAAACGTGTAGATTGAGAAATGCAAAGGCTGATGGAAGCCAGGAATAAAAACCACCAAGGTTTATGTAAGGGAGATGGGCAAAAAAACACACGACATTGTAAGAAAATTCTGAATATCAACACTGTCTAAGACAAGAAATGGGAACTTACTTTTTTTTTTTCTTAACTTGGATGAGGTCACTAGTGACCTTAGGAAGAGCACTTTCAGTCAAAACAAACCTTTCCAATATCAAACCACATCTAACCAACTACTTTATAAGAATTCCCCCTGTGGAAGCACTTGATACTCTGAAATCCCTGTGCACCCTTAAAGGTTACTTCTTTAGGCACAGGAGGGTCTGGGATTCCCAAAACTGAGGATGACTGAGGGAGATCCTTGGGGCATTCTGGCCTGAGGTCTAGGGGTAAACCCGAGGAGGCACCGCCCAGCTGGGAAATCAGAATTACACTTACCGCCGGGTTTGCTAATCTGACGCCTCATCAAGGAGGCAGCCGGTTAAACTTCGCCAGGATGAGAAGGCGGGGCTTAAAATCTGTGCACTTGGGCAGACTCAGGGCGAGTTAGGGAAGTCCCTCCCACGAGCGACCCCCTCTGTTGTCCCGAGGAGCAGTCGCGAGGCACAGCGCCCCTGCTGACTCTCCCCGAGGCGCGTGACCCTCGACTCAGGCTCCTCCGGGGCGAAGAGCTACTGCATTTACTCGGGCCCAGGAAGGGGCAGTTTAAGCCTTTGGTTAGGGGAATCGTGCGCGCGCTAGGTCCTTTCCCCGAAGCCATGCAGGGGGCGCTTGACCGATTCATCCTGAGCCACTGACCTTTCGTCTCCCCGCCCCAGAGGCCCGCGGGTGTTTGCCAGTGGAGCCGGGATGCGGCCTCCCCTACCCGGGAGCCCGCTCGCGCACCTCTCCAGCCAGTCGTAAAGTGCAGTAAATGCGCGTGCGTTTTGCGGCACCGTAGGTGAGGCCGGCGGCGTGCGTCCTTGCTCGGCGCGGATCCGGCACTTTGACAGCCGCTTCTGCGGGAAGGCGGCAGTTAGGAATTTGGGGAGGACGGAGAACCAGCCATAATTCTCTCAGCGGGTAATTGGTTGCTCCTAGATTTGCATATCGAGAGACAAAGCTGTAGGGTTGTTTAAAACACTGAACGTAAAGTTCCCAAACCTCACTCGTAATATGCTGTTCCTCGTGTGCTTTGGTTTTCACCTTCGTGTTGATCACTAGGTTTTAGGTGGAAATCCTTGGTGTAGCTGACATTGTTTTTCTTGTTCACTTCGTCCTGCAGTCTTTCCTCCCCTGGAATTTGAGATGCTTTACCTCATCGGCTTGGGCCTGGGAGATGCCAAGGACATCACAGTCAAGGGCCTGGAAGTTGTAAGACGCTGCAGTCGAGTGTATCTGGAAGCGTACACCTCAGTCCTGACTGTAGGGAAGGAAGCCTTGGTAGGTGCTTAAGGTTCCCCAGCCTCCTGGGAAGAAAGCTATCTAATATTTGGTTTTCGTACACTAAACTCAACAGAATTTTAAGGCGTGCTTGTTTAAATCCTTTAAAGCACATCCCCTGCTCATTAAGAATCTGAGGAGTTGGAGAATGGAAATTGTACACCAACCAAGTGACTTGGAAAATAAAAGGGTGCTTTGTCCTACTTTACAAGTCTAATTTTGCAGCTTTCTCCAGCAAATAGGAAAGTTATTTTACATTCTTGGGGATAGTTATCAAAACCCCTTATTTCATGAAATAGCCAAGAAATCCTTTCTTTGTTGAGTGCTAAAGAGGTGCTGACCCAGCCTTAATGAGTTGGTTATATATTAAAAAACCAAGCTGAAATCTTCCCCCTTTGAAGTATTTCCATAGGGAATGGTCATCGCCTTTCTGTCTGTATCATATTTAGAGAGCTCTTACCTTTAGATAGGCCCAATAAGGCTTATACTCATATACTTGTATATATTGAGTGAACCTGGGACTAAGTAACCAGAGGATTTGTTAGTGTATTACATTAATACATTTTGCTGGCCCTGATAAGGGCTCAGTAAATTTTGGAGGAAAGGTTAAGTTCAGATTCATTGTCAAACTCCAAGTAGAATATAGATTAAGATCAAAAGATTAATGGGCGTGCTCTGGGAGAAGGGAGTCGATTTTTAGAATTACCTTTGTCTTGTGTTCCAAACAAAAAAGTGATTTAAGATTTTCAGGTCTTCTGTCCTCTCAGATTCACAATCCAGAGAATTCTGAAGGTCTCAGAGTTAGTTTAAAATCTTGATGAAGAAATTAAGGACTGCTACTATTCATTGAAATAAAGGTTGTATCTAATGACCTGCTTTGATTTGGCTCCCACTTTTGTCAATGTTAGGATGGAACCAAAATATCTAACCTCAAAAAGATGGAAATATGTCTCTCTAATGAGTGATCATGGAAAACTAGAATGGACTTCAAACTATCTAAGAGAATAGACACACATAAAACAGCAGCATAAGGTGTCAGAGCATGGCACAGAGGAAAGTTTGGACCTTGTTTTATCTTTGCCCTGTTACATGTTAATGTGACCTTGGACAAGTCATTTAACTTTAATTTCTTACTGTGCAAAATGGGTTCAAAAATGCCTATTTTGTATCTTCTCAGCATAGTGCCTGGCACAAAAGTGTTTAGAAATGGTATTTGTCAACAGTTGCATTTCCAAACTTCTCTGAATCTCAGTTTCTTCATTTGTCAAATGGGGATAACCAGTTGGAGGGTTATGTAGGGTTTCATTAAGGTGAATGTGTGAAAGTGCTTTGTAAATTTTAAGTGCTAGCTAAATATTAATTTTGGTTGCTATCATTTTTTAAAGTATTTTTTTCCAAAAATGTACTTATAAGGTTATTACTTATGTAGTAAAGGTTTGGGGCTGAGCCCAACATCACCTATAGGTAAATTATGTGTACTTTTTTAAGGTGCAAGAATATCTGTTCCTTCATAATAAGTTTTATAGAACATTTACTATGTATTGTTTTAAATGCTTTACATGTTGATTAGGATTATTAATCTATAATTACTGTTCACATTTTACACGCACAGAAAAGTTAAGAAACTTGTCCATAGTCATACAGATAGTGAGTCATAGAGCCCCAGGATATGAACCAAAGCAGCCCTGGGTTGAGATCTGCTACTTTTGACATTTTTACTATACCGTGTCTCTGTATTCTCAAGGATAGATAATAGCTGCACAAAGTACAACTTCTTACAGAGAAAGTAAGATTCAAGCAAAAGGGTCAATCCTGGATCCTGCCCTATTGCAGAATTCCTTTAGTGTGCTCTGCACATCCTCTTCTAGTTCCTCAGTTCATGCTCTTTCCTGAGCAAATTGCCGTACCACATCAGCCACCTTAAATGAATCATTTCTGGACTAAAGTATAAAAAAAAAAAATTAATGCCTTATATTGCCCAGTAAAATCTGAGAGCCACTTTCTATTCAACCACTTCCTTTTTCCTTTCATTTCTACCTTTTCTTTTTTAAAAAATTGATTTTTAGAAATTGTTGACATGTGTTTACATACCTATATATACAATCTGATCTCAATAACTACACATAACTATTACACAGTAAAAAAATTAGAAAATTCTATTTTGTACGATGAACATGTTCTTTTTTTTCAATAATCAAATGATATTTTATAAAAGGCACATGGGCGTTGCTAAAGAAATCTGCAATCTATCTGCTTTACACTGAAAACTGTTGCTTTCAAATTGCTAAACTGGTAGTATTATTTATATGTTCTCTATTCAAAAGTTAATCTAGAGACAGTGAATCTAAGAAACAGTTTTAGTTTTGGTATATATATCTTGAATTTCTTTAGGCACTTTCTGTGGATACGTCATAACTTTCCTGCCTATAATGCACCTGTGTACATTATACAAAGAAACATAAGCGATGGTCTTGATAAGTGGTTCGTGATTCATCTGTGTTATAACCAGGAAAACTTAAATGATAAAGGAAGATTTAAGTAAGAATTCATAACAGCGATGGAAGGAAAAACTATAAAATATATATATTTGTAAAGAACCTAGATGATCTTATCTAAATCCAAACCCTAGCTTTCACCAACTAAGTAGTAGAAGCTGTCCCAAATACTAAATAATTACTAGTTATTAATTACTATTGGAATACATGTGTGAGAGAAGATCATTTCGAACTGTGGTGGTCAGGTAATACTACGGACTTGATGGAATTTGAGCTGTGTTTTCTTTCTCTTTTTCTTTTTTTTTTGATTTTATTTCAGTATATTGTGGGGGTACAGATGTTTAGGTTATGTATGTTGCTCTTACCCCCTCTGCCCCCCAGGTCCAAACTTCAAGCGTGTCCATCTCCCGGATGGTGCACATCACAGTCTTTGTGTATGCATATACCTGTCCCCTCCGCCCCCCTCCCCCCTGCCTGACATCCAATAAATGTTATTGTTATTTGTACACTTATGTGTTGACCAGTTAATACCAGTTTGATGGTGAGTACATGTGGTGCTTATTTTTCCATTCTTGGGATACTTCACTTAGAATGTGTTCCAGCTCTATCCAGCAGAATACAAGAGGTGCTGTATCACCATTGTTTCTTAAAGCTGAATAGTACTCCATGGTATACATATGCCACATTTTATTAATCCATTCATGTATTGATGAACACTTGGGTTGTTTCCACATCTTTGCAATTGTGAATTGTGCTGCTATAAACATTTGGATGCAGGTGTCTTTTTCATAGAGTGTCTTTTGTTCTTTTGGGTAGATGCCCAGTAATGGGATTGCTGGATCAAATGGTAATTCTCCATAAGGAGAGTATCTTAAGGTATCTCCATATTGCTTTCCACAGAGGTTGCACTAGTTTGCAGTCACACCAGTAGTGTATCAGTGTTCCTATCTCTCCGATCCACGCCAACATTTATTGTTTTGGGACTTTTTGATAAAGGCCAGTCTCACTGGAGATAAGTGATATCTCATTGTGATTTTGATTTGCGTTCCCCTGATGATTAGAGATGTTGAGCATTTTTTCATATGCTTTTTGGCCATTATTCTGTCTTCTTTTGAAAAGTTTTTGTTCATGTCCTTTGCACACTTTTTGATAGGATTGTTTGATTTTTTCTTGTTGATTTTCCTGAGTTCTAAGTAGATTCTAGTTATCAGCCCTTTATTGGATTTATAGCATGCAAAAGTTTTCCCCCATTCTGTAGGTTGTCTGTTTGCTCTTGTGAGCTATGTTTTAAAATAGTGAACCCCAGTCTTTTTTTGTTTGGTTTCTTTTGTTTACATCATGGTTCAAATAGAAAATAGTAATATTTGTACAGCCCTTTAGGGTGAATGGAGGAAGGTGCTTACAGACAGAGGAGACTAACTGTGGGGCCCCAGGTACCCTGCAGAAAGCAGAGGAGATCACTAAACTTTTCTTATCTTTATCCCATTTGTAGCACTTGTGAAGCTTGTGCAACCTACCAAGGTTCTGTGATCTTGAGCAGTCATTTAACTTCTCTGTGCTCTGTTTCTTAGCTGTAACATGGGGATAAAAATAGTTCCTATTTCAGATTGAGGAGAAAAGTAAATTAATTCATATGCATAAAGTTCTTAAAACAGAGCTTGACCATAGAGTAAGCCCAATATAAGTACATTAATACAAATATTGTTATTATAGGTAAGATTTGGTAAGGGGAAGAGAAACAGCATTCCATCTTGAAGGAAAACTAACCGTAATCAAAAGCATGGAGGGGGAAAACACAGACTTTTGCCATACTTGTTATTGGGCTTCACTGAAATAGCTCTTTTATTTTCTCGCAGTGTATCTGTTCCCTCGTGTCTCTTCCTAACTTATGTCACCTGGATACCAGCTCCCTCTATTACTTTGTCTTCCTGTTCAACTACTGTGGATTGAGATCAGGAAAACAGAGGAGAGAACAGTAAAGGAGAAAAATGAGGCCATCAGCTATGAACTTTATAAACTTCTCATCTGCCTTTACCATAAATCTGAATTTGTCTTCCCTCCAGCTTTAGAAAATGACTTGTAAGATGAGATTCTCTTCCTGTCCAAGACATAACTCCACCTAAATGTGTTTTGTAAAACCCCTTCTACTCCCTTCCCTAGAAACTTTACTTACAAGTTTTCCTTTCTTCTTTATGTTCAACCTGTATTAACGTCCTTCTCCCCTCATCCTGAAACCATATTTAAACACTGTCCATGCTGAAGATTCTCTTTTAAACCTCTTTCACCATAGTTATTATTCTGCTCTATCTTTTCTTTATCCAAAACTTTTTGAAAAAGCATGCCTTTACTCTTTCCACTTCCACTCAGGTCTCAGATCCCTGCAGGCTGACTTCCATTCCTTGAGAATATATCTCTGTTTTTGAACATTTCTTTACTAGCCAAGAATTTTGGATAATGGTTTTGAATTATTACCTGTTTTACCTCTTTTGATGTGGTTAACTATTCCTTGAAACTGACTTTCTTGGTTTTATTCCTACTTTTCCATTCTTCTCAGTCCTCCTTATTTCTCTGTTCCTTCTTTAAATGTAGTATTTTTAAAGATTTTGTCCTTGCATTTGTTTCCATATACTACTTTGAACTTCTACTCTTTTGCTTTTTGAGTAAGTAATCCATTAAACGGTTTGAAATTTAAAAGGTACTAAAAGATATACACATCAAAAGATTTCTATCCCAATTTTTCTTCCTGGAGGCAGTTATTACTAATTTCCTGTATGTCCTTCCAGAAATATCTGAAAATAATTTTAATTTTAGTCTGTCTTCCAAATAGAAAAATTGCCGACTTAGTGTAAGAATGAATTTTTTTTTTTTTTTGAGACAGAGTCTTGCTCTGTTGCCCAGGCTAGAGTACGGTGGCATCATCATAGCTCACCGCATCCTCAAACTCCTGGGCTCAAGTGATCCTCTTGCCTCAGAACCTCTTGCCTCAGCCCTCAAGTTGCTGTAGTACAGGTGTGCACTATCACACCCAGCTAATTTTTCTTATTTTTTATAGAGATGGAGCTCTTTCAGGCTGATCTTGAACTCCTGGCCTCAAGCAGTTCTTCTGCCTCAGCCTCCCAAAGTGCTGGGATTACAGGTGTGAGCCACTGTGCTCAGCCTAAGAATGAATTTTGAATTTTACCTTAATTTTTCATGAATGGGAGATGATTAGGGCTGAGGTTGTATAAAAACTAGCTAATCAGTCATTGGATATATATGATGCAAATTTAAAATCATTTGTAAATGGTACTATTTGTTTATTATTTTCCTTCCCTGATCCCTGAATAGGCTTGATGCTCCTATAGTACATGTGATGTGGTAGTTTCCCGCTAGACAGTGTGCTCTTCAAGAGCAGGGGCTATGTATGTCTTAGTCATCATTGTCTCCCAATATTAGCCATAGAGTTCAGCACAGAAGATGTGAGTAAGAAATATTTTTATGGTGATTGAGTGAATGAATAAATACGTGGGTACATTAAAAAATAATGTAGTACCAGTCTCTTACTGCTTTTACTGTCTCTTCCCTTTTTTAACACATTAACTGCCATGTGAGTTGTATTTAACTCCCACTAGTTTTGAGCCTAGGGCCTTGTGAAGCATATGTAACTCACATATCTCTTTACTTTGGGAGCTGTGTGGTACACAGGCAACTCATGCTGCCATGCTGTAGCATACAGGTTACGTGATAGGGGGCCCCCTGGGCAAAACCCTGCAGTTAGTTCGTGAAAATCTTACTTGTTGATGTTTTTATTGGTACAATTAATATTGACTATTTAATTGCATATAATTCACAGAAAACAATAAAAAATAACAAAATTTTCATTAAATTAGAAAGAATTGTTTTGTTTTCAAAGTTTTTATTCTATTTCCATAATAAAACACTTGTGACCCCAAGGAAAAAATTGTTTTTCTAGTGTGGCAGTCAATGTGTTAAACACTGTTATTTCAAGAGGATCAGCTGTTTGTTTATATTGGGATATTTGAGTGTGTGTATAAACATTCTGTTGTCTCAGTGAAATATTTCTAAGGATAAATGTTAAGTACAGAATGACGAATGATAGAAGTCTTGAAGAGAGAGTGGGTTTTTTTGTTGCTGTTAAATCCTTGATAAAGTATGGGATAGCATTGCTACTAGCATTAAACTAGTAGCCTATAACTTCTTGGTCTTTTCTAAGGAATGTTAGAAGTTCAGAAAAGGCCATAGTTTCCTTTAGTTTCTATTTAAACATTCATGTGTTCTCTTAGATATGTGAATGTAAATGTTGTGCAATTATTAAGTTTTCTGGGGTCATAAAATCAAAGTAAAACATAAAAATTAGTGATTAAGGAAAAAGTGCATTGTAAAAGTGAAAATAAAGAGAGCATTTTTCATCTATATAAACATTGTCATTGGGGACTTCTGGAACATTTCTTTTAAGATGTGAAGAGAAAAGGAAGGGATCTTTTTCACATTTTAGGAACAGATTCTGTTCAAGTATTAGGAGATAATTATTAGAGTTAGAACTATAGCATTTATCTTTGGATGTTTAATCATTTGTTCATTTACTCATTTGTTTGACAAATGTTATTGAGTACCAGATACTCTGCCAGTACAGCAATCCTTGTAACTTTTAACACTTCACACAAACTTCTCAACATGTAAAAAACAGTATTATTTATCTATGCATCCATTTTTACTCCATTTGAATTACATATTACTCCATAGAAAATCAGTTAGAAGATTCATGATCTTGGATAGTACCCTGTAACCATTACCACATGACCACCAGCTTACTAAGTCACTCTCTGCTGGATTTGTTGTCTAACGTTGAACTGCAGGGGATTAATTCACAAAGCAGTTTGTGTGGAAACTTTCTATAGGTTTAGAAGTCAGTTCTTTCCCCTGCAGCTCTGCCTTTTTAGCAATGACTAGGGAATACAGTTTTTAATTAGTTTTTTGTGCATTTGAGTAGGAATGTTCACTGGTTCTGCAAATAGCTAAATCTTAATTTTCTATTATTTGTCATCGGTGTTACTTTTCATTTTAGCTGAGATACCATACATTTTTTCATAGAAAATTTACTAAAATCTAAACTACCATGTTTCTTTATAATTATTGTTTAATATATTTATTGTGTATTATATCATGTTTCTAAAGTGGGGCTCATGAATGCATATTCTCTGTTCATCCTACAGCGTTCTTCCCAGTCTATTAGAACTATATTTAGAGATACATTTAAAATGCAAAAAAGCCTCAGATGTTAAGAGGTCTGTTTCCTTTGGGATATTAAGATAGCCCCAAAGACTGAGTTTAACTGCAGCATGATATAGACTGCTAGTATTGAATGAACTATATTTGGATGGTTACCAGGATTTCTACCAGACAAAGATTGTACCCAAAGATTGTTGTGTATGTGTATTGATATGGTCACCTGCTGTCTCTCATTTTGATCTTGGACTTGAATCTGTAGGAAGAGTTTTATGGAAGAAAATTGATTCTTGCTGACAGAGAAGAAGTGGAACAAGAAGCAGATAATATTTTAAAGGATGCCGATATCAGTGATGTTGCATTCCTTGTGGTTGGTGATCCATTTGGGTAAGTCATAGCAGATATTTTGAGTTTTTAATTCACTTACTTTTTTTTAATCAGTAAGAATTATTGTATTACATTTAAAATTTTTACCTGCCAGGTCCTGGTGAGGGACTCTATTTATCTAAGCTCTGTCTAAAATTTCATAGTTTAAACTTTCATTACCTTTGAGATTAATGAGGAAAATCTGTTTGGTAAATACATCATCATAGGTATCATGGCATTATCAAGTGTCAACTGTAAAAAGTTTGTGTTATTGCTTCTGCTGTTTTTTTAGAAGGTCATGTAGGGCAACAAATGTCTTAACTAGTATATCATTATCAAATATTACATTATCAAAAGTCATGCTTGGCCGGGCGCGGTGGCTCACGCCTGTAATCCTAGCACTCTGGGAGGCCGAGGCGGGTGGATTGTTTGAGTTCAGGAGTTCGAGACCAGCCTGAGCAAGAACGAGACCTCGTCTCTACTAAAATTAGAAAGAAATTAATTGGACAACTAAAAATATGTAGAAAAAGTTAGCCGGGCATGGTGGCACATGCCTGTAGTCCCAGCTACTTGGGAGGCTGAGGCAGTAGGATCGCTTGAGCCCAGGAGTTTGAGGTTGCTGTGAGCAAGGATGATGCCACGGCACTCACTCTAGCCAGGGCAACAGAGTGAGACTCCGTCTCAAAAAAAAAAAAAAAAGTCATGCTTGTCATTTGCTGCAGATAATTAGAAGCATTTTGGCTTCCTTTCTCTTAGGCTTTTTCTCCCATTTTTAATCATCTAATATTTGACAGTACTGCTGTCACTTTTTTGCCCTGAATTTATCGTTTATGAAGCCTCTGATTTCAATTTCTTATATCCGTTGGGAGCTCTGTTATTTCTCATTACCAAAAACATGGGCCTCTACTTGGCTAGTCAAGCATCATCAATCTCTAATGTCAAGCCAAATAGAAGAATTCTTTGTCTACAGCTGGTGACCCAAGATTTATGTCACAGGTTTAAGGAACATAAGGACAATTAAATCACTATGAGCCCACCACCAAAAATGTTTTTCAAAAGAATGGAATTACATGTGCATGTGTCTGTCAAAAAGAAAATAATTTATATCAATTTATGTGAATATGAGGTGCCAGAGATTGTGTATCTTTATTATACTTGATTGCAAATGACAGTGGGTAATCATACATTTTAAAATATTTAAATAGTTTGTTTTAGCCTTTGACATTGTTTCCTGTAAACTTAGGGCTTCCTTGAAATTAGCTGTACCTATCTTCTTTTTTTTTTAGTAGCCACAGAATAATAAAATAAAATAAGGATAATGAAAAATCCTGTATAGAAAATGTCTTGTAACTCTTGTAGGATTTTCTCATGAAGACAATGACTCCTACTGCAGAAAACCCATGATTTCTACAGTGAAACCTTCTCCCACCAAACTTCTGAACTTTATGGTACTGCAATGCTTACAGTCACTTAGATGAGTAATCTCAGAGTCACTTTTGACTTTCATGGCATCCAGTCACTGACAATGTCCAATAAACAACAAAAGTGCTATTCAAAGTGAGGTTTGCAGACTGGTGCTAACCCACAAACTATTACCAGTCCATGATGAGATAAATACAGAAATTGAGTTAGCATTTAGAAATTTTGTAGCTATTTTAAAAAGTATAATTTATGTCTGCTGAATTTAAAAATAAAAATTGGGGGCTTTGGTTTTATATTATTTTATATTTTATTTTTCTAATGTAGTCATGCATCACTTAACTAAGGGGATACACTCTGAGATATGCATCAGTTTGCAATTTCGTCATTGTGTGAACATTATAGAATGTGCTTACACAAACTGAGATGGTATAGCCTACTACATACTTGGGATGTCTGGTATAGCCTGTAGCTCCTAGTCTACAAACCTGTACAGTACGTTACTCTACTGAATACTGCAGGCAATTGTAACACAATGGAAAGTATTTATGTATGTAAACATATCTAAACATAGAAAGGGTATGGTAAAAATATGATATTATAATGCTATAGAACCACCATAATATATGTGGTCTCTCCTTGACCAAAATGTCATTATGGAGCACATGACTATAGTTCATTTTTATTGCATTTGACAAAACTATTGTTCTGTGACAATTTAGAACCCCCAAAATATTGTCTTTTCACCATAGATAGTTTGAGAAGCACTGCCATTGACTTTTGTTTTATCAACTTTTTCATGTCCTTTTATTCCTTTCCACTCTGGTTGCTACCATTCTACCTAATCCTTTGGAAACTTCACCTGGGCTCATACATGAGAACTTTATTAGCTCCATCATTAGCCAGACATTAAAAATACCACCCAACTTGCCCTTCTACCCATGTTCTGCCACTCTTGTACTAAAGCCCAGATCATGCCAACCGGTTTGCCCTTCCCTAATCATCATGATTTTTCTCCTTCCTGCCTTTGTTGAAACTGCTTCCTTCATTTCTGATGCCCTCTGATGTATCTCTGACTGTCAGAAGCTTTCCCATCTTTCAAAACTCAGCTCAAACATGACATTCTCCGTGATGTATTCCCTAATTGCCCCAACCTGAAGTTATTTCTCCACTTAACTGCTGACATGTATCATTCATGCTAGTTTTCATATAAAACCTCACAACATATTTTTTATAACTGTGTACATCTACTCTTTCCTTAGATTTATAGGTTATCCTTCACGTTTTATCTCCCTAGCTTTCTTCACAATATGTGGCATACTGTACATACTAATTAAATATTCATTGAAGGAGTTTCTGGGTTTTTTGCCTAAGGTCAAAAAAGAAAGACCAGGCATATCTTGAACTGACATTTATCTGTCCAGTAAACACCTTTTGAACACTTGTCCTGTGATAGGAACTTCTGCATGCTGAATGATAAAAAACATGGGTTTATAGTTTAGTGGGAAGGCCAACAGTAATCAAAGAAAAAAAATTAAATTTCGATAGTGCCGTAAAGAAAAAAAAAGAAAACAACAGGAAGAAACTTCTTACTGTGGGGTAATATGGCAAAGCTTTTCTGTGGAGGTGATATTTAAGTAAGTATTTGAAGAATGAAAAGGAACAGGAGAAGGGAAAAACAATCTAAGCAGAAGGAATATCAAGAATGTGTTCAAGGAACTGAAAGGCCAGGGTGGCTGGGGCAGGGTGGGTTAGAGAGAAGAGATGAGAAGGTGTTGCAGAGGTAGGCAGGAGCCAGCCATGTAAGGCCTTGGATGGACTGGGAATTTTACTTGAAATCCAGTGGAAAACCTTTGGAGGATTTGAAGCAGGAAAAATCACAATCAGATTGACATTATTAAAACAATCACTCTAAATGCTTGAGTGAATGGATTTTAGGGAGGTAAGAGTGTCTGTGATGGAAGAGAGAAAAGGAAAGTCTGGAACATATTTAGAAAAAAGTATGCTGGGATGGAGGTGGTGGAGAAGAAAAGGAAAGAAGTAAATCTGACTTCTAGGTTTTTAGTTTTCGAACTGAGTAGTTGATGGTGCCACTTGAAAACCAGCAGAGAACAGGATTTGAGGAATAAGAATTGGTTCTAGAAATGTGTTGAATTTAAGATGTCAGGGAGGCAGTTAGATAGCTGCTGCTGGAGCTTAGGGGATGGGGCATCCTAAATATGTGGCTTTTGAAGTCATAAGTATGGAGATGGTATTTAAAGCAGGAAGAATGGATAAAAGCACCTTAGGAGAGAAGAACAGGATAAGAAGAGGGCCTAGGATCAAGCCCTAGGAAACTTTGGCATTTCATAGTCTATCTAGAGCTAGAGGAGGAGGACAAAACAAGAGTATGTAGTACAGAAGCCAAGAAAAGGGTTCATTTCATAAAGGAAAGACTGGCCAACTTGGATATAGTGCTGAGAGTTTGAGTGTAAGGTGAGAATGGAAAATGTGCATGAATTTAAAAGCACCATGTTTGGAGTTCATCAATGGCGGCTTTATGGAGGAGCTGGTACGCGAGTTGGGTCTGGATAGGGTTTAACAGGTGGAGATTATGGGGTGGACCAGAAGGAAGGGAAGAGAGAATTCCATGTAAATGAAAAAACTGAGGCTCAGAGAAAGTGCCTTGATTAGTTACTGCTCTGCTCAAAAACATTCATGGCCTTAAATCTTGAAGTCTTTCTACTTTTTCCTCCAGCTACTCTTTGTGACTGCTATGCTATTAGCAAATTGTACAACTTTCCATTTCATACGTGTTTTGCAATATTCTTGCACCATGTCCTTGCTCATGCTTCTTTAAAACAGACTGTTTTTCCCAGTTTCTAATTAGTGACATGTAATTTTACTAATTATAAAATTAGAACCCAGCTGAGATTTTACTCCTATTTTATTCAGGAGTAAGTGCTGTTTTCCTTATTTATTTTTTAAAACTCCTTTGGCAATGAATTTGCCCTATCTCAGTGACTTATATATAACCCTGTATTTATATTCAGATTTAAGTAATATTTACTGTACTTCAGTAATTTTTTATTTACAACTGGATTACTATTGGGACGTAGTAAGTTAGAAATAGGATGATGGGGAATGAGTAATTTTAACTGGGCCTTGAAGAATTAGAATTTGAGTGGATTAAATAGAGAAACCAGGAAAGGAATATTGAATGAAACAAGGCACTGAAATTCTTTCTTATATAGGATAAAAAAAAAGTCCCTTGTTTAATTTTAAACCCTTTTCTACTGAATAAAACACATTAAATAAAAGGGAAGATTGTTCAGGATGCTCAATCTTAAATTTCTTTTTTTCTTAACTTTTTTAAATTGTAAAATACACATAACACAAAATTTTACATTTTAGCCATTTTTAAATGTACAGTTTAACGGCATTAAGGACATTAACATTGTTGTACAACCATCACCACCATCCATTTTCAACAATCATAAGTTCTTTAAGAAAATAATTAAAGGTCATAGTAAAGTAAGTTGATGTAGTTCTCATCATCTTTGCCCTTTTATCCTTGTTATTGAAAGGAATGCGGAAATTAATCACATAAAGAACTTGAATGA